TAAAACTAATTTGTAAAATATTAAAATAAATAAATAATTGATAAAATGTTAATATAAATTTATGTAAAAATAATGTGCTAACTAATTTATTTGCTTCAAATCCAATCTCTACTAAATTGTTCTCTTAACAAAAGTCAATTTGTCATTTACTTTTTTGTTTTGTTATTGTATTTCCTTCCCGCCGTTTTATTGCAAAATTTTTGAGTAATTTGTTAATTTCCTTTAATAATCATCTTCCTTAGCATGAATTTGTAGTGTATTGTTGTTGCAATTTCTCCGTTTCTTTTGCTTTTTATTTTTATTAGTAGTTTAGCTTTAGTTTCTTCTTTTATTTAATTGCAAGCGCAAGTGGCTTGAAGAAAATTGTGAAAAAATTGTGAAAATTGTTATAATTATTAAAGTAAATTGTTGAAGCTGTGATAAAATTATAAATTTATTAACGTGTTTTTAGTTTAATATCGGTTTTCATGAAAATAATTGTTAATTTATAAGAAATTTCAAGTGATTGTGTTCGCTGGTTTTCTCGGCAGGTCGTTTGTATGTTCATAAACCCGTTCCTTTATTATTGCTTCAAAGAGTCCGTGTGTGTTTTTGTTTATGAAAAATATTTAAAAAGTTTAAAAGAAATAAGAAAGATCAATATGAAATTAAAATGTTTTTATTATACCCCGGCCCACTAGAAGCCTTTCATTAGTGTCTCCTTGTTTGGTTTATGCGATCAATCGGTTATTGTGTTTTAAGTGAGTCCATGTTGGTTTTTATTAGTTTTATTAATAAAAGGTAATAAATAAAATGTATTAAAATTAAAAAAATTATAAAAAATTTAAGAAATATCTATAAAAATAAGTGTATTTTATACACTATGGCCTGTTTTGTATAAAAAAGTGTTGTGCTCGTATATTAAAATAAATGTTTCTATAATAAAAAGTTTGGAATATCTTTGGAGGAATGCAAAAGTCATCTTTGAGGTAACAAGGTAAGTGAAAGACAAATAATTTTATTACTTTCTTCATAAGTGAAGCTATTTTGCAATATCCTACTCCTAACAGAATGCTGGTGCAAAAGTATCAGACTATTTTCAATATAATAAGTAGAATCAGCTGTTATCATCGGCAGCCCCATCATAATGCTATTCGGAATATAACTACTCCTTTACGTTTACCCTTTAAATCAGTCAAATCGATTCAGGTCCATCTTTTCGCTTTCACTTTTAAAATTGATTCCGGGATGTGTTCTTTCTATAGTTTCTCAACTTTTACACAAATCTGACGTTTAATAACAACTCAATTTTTAGTATCCTTAACATAAACTAACATCTCGCCTTTTCTCTAATAAAAAATTCTCTGTAAATCGTAATACTTACTATAATGATTCACTCTTTATCCAAATAAACTGAAACTCTTTATATTTCAATGCACACCCTTTTTTTCCTCAGTACTCTTTGAAAACTATACAATTTAGCAATAACATTGTTGTTGTTCTTGTTGTTATTATACTTTTCTACCCCAACTCTCACGGGTACAAAGTAGGTCAGGGACGTTGTGCTCATTTTCCAACAAAGCGCAAACAAACTACAACAATAATAAAAACCCTTAACACAAATTCCCTTACACACTTTTTTTAAAACAAACGAAAGCTTTATTGTACATTAAATAATAATGAAAAGCAAACAATAGGAAAGAGAAAAACCCAAAAGAGCATATAAATATTTCAACAGCTCCCGGTAACAGCTAACAGGAAGTTGTTTTTTTTTTTTTTTTGTTTTGCTCCCTTTGGCGGAAACATAAATAAATATTGTTCCAAAATACTCACGTGTCCAGGGCATTTGTATAAAAGTTAACATTTGTTTAAGCAGGCTTTGGTTATTATTTATAATTAATTTTGTTATAAATATAAAATAAAATTCGTAAATTTATTTATTAAATATGGTTTAATAAACATTATAAAATTTTTATATTATAAAGTAGTAGTAGTTGTAGTAAAAAGTATAAATAATATTTATAAAAAATACATTTCGTTAGAAAAGGAAAAAGTTCCCTTGCTGTTATTAGTAAACACAATACATTTATAAAAAAAACATACATAAATCGAGCACCTTAACTTAAACTAAAAAGTTAGTTTTTTGTTGCTTTACAATTTATTGCTTTTTAAAAATATATAATTAAAATTACAAGTTAAACTCTTTTTAAGGCACTTTTATAAAAGGCTTAAAAACAACAAACAACATTTTGGCAGATTTTTTTTTTTTTTTAATTTTTGACAACAAAGTGTGTGTGAAAAAAGGGTAAGAAAAAGTAAATTATTAAATAGGATTTCGAGTATTTATTATAAAGGGCAAAACTTAACGTTTCATTTTTTCTAAAATCGGTACCACCATATCAAATTTAGGTCTTTTACCGGGATCTTCATTCATGCAAATATTTATCAATTTCACCATGTGTGGTGAAGTACCGGGTGGTATTTTAACTCTTAAACCTTCTAAGGCTATCTTCATGCCGCACTCCATGGGTGACCATTCGGCAAAAGGTATTTCACGTGTGGTTAATTCCCACAATAAGACGGCAAAACTCCACATATCACTGGCCTCCCAATTGCGATCGGTGGGTTTACGCTGTAAGGCCTCTGGCGACATCCAGGCTGGTTGATAAATGCGTCCTTTTTCTTGGAAGGAGAATTTGGCATCACCCATATTAATGCGGGCGGTTAAGTCTTCATCGATCTGTGGGAAAATAGAAAAAGTTTAAAGTTTTCAAATTTGTATTTGTTTTATTTGGGAATTATTTAATTAATTACCATAACATGATGACTGTTCAGATGATAAGTGGGTATAATTCTTTCCAAAGAATGTAAATAAGCCATACCTCTAGCTATATCTAAAGCAAAACGTACTGCCTGTGATGTGTCTACTACTACACCGGTGGCTCCATGCAGTAAATTGAATAATGAACCTCGGGGCATGAACTATAAATAAAAATTAATTATAATTTTATACTATGTTATCAAAAAGTTCAGTAAAATCTCCAAAATCAAGAAAAAATTCACTGAAAACTAAAGTTTTCACCCAAAAATACTCATTAACTCATGTTTTTACCAAATCCCCAAATTTCCACCAAAAACTCATGTTTATTCTTTAATAATACCACTTTTCCCCACTCACCTGACTAATTACGACCAAATTTGGCGGTGAATTACTTGCTCCTATAATCGGCAATATATTGGGATGTGAAAATATTCTCAATTTGGGAAACTCTTCATTAAAATCTCTGGATATTCTCGATGTACATTGTCTAACCGATAAAATCTTAGCTATGACATCATTCTTTTGCCAACGGCCACGCCATGTTTCTCCCGAAGGTGTTACCGCCAATTTCGTATGCAAATCCAAATCACCCATACTGATACCTTTGAAACGTGACAAGGTAGCATCACGTGAACGTGTCTTAAAGCCCAACCAACTTTGTTCTTTGAAACTAATCTTTTTCATTTCTTGACCATTACGTTCGGCCAAATCTTGTAAACGTTTAGCCAAACCAGGCTTGGCCTTGTCCAAGGGAGTGTCATCATCCTTATTGGCAATGGTAACAGAGGCTCCGGCATTTACTAAATCTTCACAAATCATATCGTAACCCCAGAAACAGGCATAATGCAAGGGTGTGTTGCCATGTTCATTGACAGCATTAACATCGGAGCGTTCTTTGAGGAGCTATAATGAAAATTTGTTATTTCCTTAATTTGAATAAAGATTTTGAATATGTTGCCTAAATACCATTTGTACTACATCCCGATGACCATGGGCTGCTGCCAAGTGTAGGGGTATGTCATCACCCATATTGGTGGCATTTACACGAGCTCCTCTTTGCAATAAAGTCTCCACTAATTTGCTATGACCCTCTTTGGCACACCAATGTAAAGGACTAAAGCCATGATCATCACTAAAGAACAATAAAAAATTAAAATTTAATAACTTTAAAGGATTTATAATAAAACCTATTAATTAAAAAAGTTCTATTTCACTTTTATAAATTAATAATATCAGTATAATGATAAATTTTTAAAAATTTTAACAAATTTGTTTAATTATTCGGCAACACTTATTCATTTGTTTACATTACTCTCTTTAACATTGAATCACTATTTATTCTCTCTCATCTTATGGACAGAAAAAAGTAGGTGTTCTTGTTGTTATTGTATACAAATATAAAAATTTCTATTAAAAAAATTCATTTGCTAATCAAATTTTTATAAAAATACACACAATGACGTCATGCATTTGCTTATAAGAATAATATAGTCCGAATTATGCTTCATGCAAAACACTTTTAATTAATATTTCTTATTAGAACACTAATGTTCCAACTATTTCTTGTAAATTTACCCCAAATTCATATCATGCTCCACTTCATCAAGCCATAAACGGACTTGTATGGAATTGCCTTCGCGACACCAATGGAAAATATCCTCCATTTTTTAGATTTTTTACGGAAAACACTTTATTTACTTAAATATTAAAGTTATTTTGTTGTAAATTATGATAAATACTAAAATCTATTTATAGTTTTAAAAATTTTCAACAATTTTCATTAAATTAAAAACAGATTGCTTAATAAAAATAAGAAAATTTCTTTAGTGTAAAACTCCCAAATTGTACAATAAAAAAAACTTAACTAAAATGTCAAATGATTTTGACAACTAGCTAAGATTATTATACAGAACACTATTATCTACAAAACTAATAAGGTGAACAAAAAAAGCTTAAATGAAAATAAAAAACAATAAACAGATAAAACAATGAAGGGAAATATTTATAAATAACTCTAAATCTATTAAATAAATAAATAAAATTATTATTATTATTTCATTTTACTTAAAATCATAGCCATTTCTCTTGTTATGTATAACAAACACTGCCTTACCATAATACCGTTTTCCATTAACATAAGGCCGTTTTTACATAAACACCTCTTTCTCGTATTTGCTACTATTTTTAAACAACTGTGCTTGCAATTGTTTACATTTTTTCCTACACAACAACGTGCTTGTCTTAATACTCCAAGAATTTTTTAATTTTTATTGAATTTTTGCAATTAATTAAATAAAAATGAAATTAAGCACCTATAATTTTCTCACCTCCAAAGCTATTAAAGGGGTAAAAGTAGGATATCCCTTAAAATTAACCGTAAGTATAAAGAATAACCCCAAAAATTAACAAAAACTATCGTAACATTTTTATCACGACCACAGATTTCCAAAAAGGATGTTATTGAGGCAGAATTTAATCCTACCTTCATCGAAAGACTTTTACCCAAATTAGATTGGCCTACTGTACATTTGGCGGCTCAAATGGTTAGCATTTTTTTGAAATTTCAAAATAGTTTTTAGTAAATTTTGTATTTCCTCTTTATTAAGGTGGAACTGGGTGATGATATACCGGCCGAACAACCTGCCAATATTGCTGAGAATGAAGAACTATTGCAAAAACTACACCATCTTTTATTAGAAGTAGATGTTTTGGAGGGTCAACTAGAATGTCCAGAAACCGGCCGTGTATTCCCAATTACCGATGGCATACCTAATATGTTGTTGAATGAAGATGAAGTTTAAATCAATTTGCTTTCTTATCTCTCCTTTTTATGTACATTTTTACATATTTGCGAGTAATTAGTTTTATTTGTATGTACTAGTAGAGCTTCTTGTTAATTTAAGTTTATAAATAATATAAAATCATCAGAAAACCAAGCAATATGTTTTTACTTTTGCAACATAACATGTACTAAATTACATGTTAAGTTATGGCCGGTGACAAACGATTTTGAAAGTAGGTTTACAAAATACATATATAAAAAAGTGTGGTTGACTTTTTGAAATACCTAATATTTACTGGGTTTTTAGGTTTGGTCGACATTTTGGGTCAAAATAGAATTTTTATAAAACGTAGACGTGATCGCAGCTTGAGCTTATTTTCTCAATAAACACAGTATTTACTGAATTATAAGAGTTTTTAGGTTTGGTCGATATTTTGGCTCAAAAAAATTAATTTTTAGAAAATGTTGAAGAGATCACAGATTGAGCTTATTTTCTCAAAAAACCCAGTATTTACCGTGTTATAAAGGTTTTTAGGTTTGGTTGACCTTTTGGTTCAAAAGACTGAATTTTTATAAAAAGTAGAAGTGATCACAGATTGAGCTTATTTTCTCAAAAAACCTAGTATTTACTGAGTTATAAGGGTTTTAGTTTGGTCGACATTTTGTCTCAAAATATTCAATTTTTATAAAAAGTAGAAGTGATCACAGATTGAGCTTATTTTCTCAAAAAACCTAGTATTTACTGAGTTATAAAGGATTTTAGGTTTAGTCGATATTTTGGTACAAAATATTGAATTTTTATAAAAAGTAGAAGTGATCACAGATTGAACTTATTTTCTAAAAAAAAACAGTATTTACTGAGTTATACGGGTTTTTAAGTTTGGTGGACATTTTGGCTCAAAATATTGAATTTTTATAAAAAGTAGAAGCAATCATAGAATGAGCTTATTTTCTCAAAAAAAAACTCAGTATTTACTGAATTATAAGGGTTTTTAGGTTTGTTGGATATTTTGGTTCAAAATATTGGTTTTTTGTAAAAAGTAGAAGTGATCACAGTTTAAGCTGATTTTATCAAAATACCCGATATTAGCCGAGGGTTTTTAGGTTTGGTGGACATTTTGGTTCAAAATACGGAATTTTTATAAAAAGTACAAGTGATCAAAAAACCCAGTATTTACTGAGTTATAAGGGTTTTTAGGTTTGGTCGACATTTTGTTTCAAAATATTGAATTTTTGGAAAATGATGGAGTGATCACAGATTGAGCTTATTTTCTCAAAAATCCCAGTATTTACCGAGTTATAAGGGTTTTTAGGTTTGGTCAAGATTTTCGTTCAAAATATTAAATTTTTAGAAAATGCTGAAGTGATCACAATTGATCTTATTTTCTCAAAAAACCCAGTATTTACTGATTTATAATGGTTTTTACATTTTGGTTCAAAATATTGAATTTTTTGAAAAAATAAAAGTGATCACGGATTGAGCTTATTTTCTCAAAAAACCCAGTATTGACTGAATTATAAGTGTTTTTAGGTTTGTTGGACATTTTGGTTCAAAATATTGAATTTTAATAAAAAGTAGAAGTGATCACAGATTGAGATTATTTTCCTAAAAAACCATGTATTTACTGAGTTATAAAAAATGTTGAATTTTTATAAAAAGTAGAAGTGATCACAAATTGAGCCTTTTTTCTCAAAAATCCCAGTATTTGCCGAGTTATAAGGGTTTTTAGGTTTGGTGGACATTTAGGCTCAAAATATTGAATTTTTATAAAAAGTAGAAGTGATCACAGATTGAGCTTATTTACTCAAAAAACCTAGTATTTACCGAGTTATAAGGGTTTTTAGGTTTGGTCGACATTTTGGTTCAAAATATTGAATTTTTATAAAAAGTAGAACTGATAACATATTGAGCTTATTTTCTCAAAAAACTTAGTATTTACCGAGTTATAAGGGTTTTAGGTTTGGTGGACATTTTGGTTCAAAATATGGAATTATTATAAAAATTACAAGTGATCACAGATTGAACTTATTTTCTCAAAAAACTTTGTATTTACTAAGTTATAGGGTTTTCAGGTTTGGTGGACATTTTGGTTCAAAATTGCTTTTTTGTAAAGAGCAATAGATTAAGTTTATTTTATCAAAATACCCAATATTAACCGAGTTATAAGGGTTTTTAGGTTTGTTGGACACTTTGGTTCAAAATATTAAATTTTTAGAAAATGTTGAAGTGATCACAGATTTTTAAGTTTGGTGGACATTTTGGCTCAAAATATTGAATTTTTATAAAAAGTAGAAGTAATCATAGAATGAGCTTATTTTCCTAAAAAAACATGTATTTACTGAGTTATAAGGGTTTTTAGGTTTGGTCGACATTTTGATCCAAAAATGTTGACTTTTTGTAAAAAGTAGAAGAGATCACAAATTGAGCTTATTTTCTCAAAAATCCCAGTATTTACCGAGTTATAAGGGTTTTTAGGTTTGGTCGACATTTTGATCCAAAAATGTTGAATTTTTGTAAAAAGTAGAAGTGATCACAGATTGAGCTTATTTTCTCAAAAAACCCAGTATTTACCGAGTTATAAGGGTTTTTAAGTTTGGTAAACATTTTGGTTTGAAATATTGATTTTTTCGAAAAAGAAGAAGTGATCACAGATTCAGCTTATTTTCTCAAAAAAAACCCAGTATTTACTGAGTTACAGTGGTTTTTACTTTTGGTCGACATTTTGGTTCAAAATATTGAATTTTTAGAAAAAGTAGAAGTGATCTCAGATTGAGTTTATTTTCTCAAAAAACCCAGTAATTACTGAGTTATAAGGGTTTTTAGGTTTGGTCGACATTTTGATCCAAAAATGTTGAATTTTTGTAAAAAGTAGAAGTGATCACAAATTGAGCTTATTTTCTCAAAAAACCTGGTATTTACCGAGTTATAAGGGTTTTTAGGTTTGGTCGACATTTAGACTCAAAATATTGAATTTTTATAAAAAGTAGAAGTGATCACAGATTGAGCTTATTTACTCAAAAAACCTGGTATTTACCGAGTTATAAGGGTTTTTAGGTTTGGTTCAAAATATTGAGTTTTTAGAAAAAGTATAGGTGATCACAGATTGAGCTAATTTTCTCAAAAAACCCAGTATTTTCCGAGTTACAAGGGTTTTTAGTTTTGATAAACATTTTGGTTCAAAATATTGTTTTTTGTAAAAAGTAAAAATGATCACAGCTTATTTACTCAAAAAGACCTAGTATTTACCGAGTTATAAGGGTTTTTAGGTTTGGTCGACATTTTGGTTCATAATATTGAATTTTTATAAAAAGCAGAAGTGATCAGAGATTGAGCTTATTTTCTCAAAAAATCCAGTATTTACTAAGTTATAAGTGTTTTTTGGTTTGGTGGACATTTCGGTTCAAAATATTGAATTTTTATAAAAAGTAGAAGTGATCATAGATTGAGCTTATTTTCTCAAAAATAAGGTTTGGTGGAGCTTTTGTCTCAAAAGACTGAATTTTTATAAAAAGTAGAAGTGATCACTGATTAAGCTTATTTTATCAAAATACGCAATATTAAGCGAGTTATAAGGGTTTTCAGGTTAGGTCGATATTTTGGGTCAAAATAAAATAGAAGTGATCACAGATTGAGCTTATTTCCTTAAAAAACTATGTATTTACCGAGTTATAAGGGTATTTAAGTTTGTTGGACATTTTGGTTTAAAATATTAAATTTTTGAAAAAAGTGGAAGTGATCACAGATTGAGCTTATCCAAAAACCCTGTATTTACTGAGTTATTATGGTTTTTAGGTTTGAATTTTTATAAGATGTTGAAGTGATCACAGATTGAGCTTATTTTCTCAAAAAACCCGGTAATTACCAAGTTGTAAGGGGTTTTAGGTTTGTTGGACATTTTGGCTCAAAATATTTTCCTTCAAATTGTTCTTTAAACACCTTGTGTAGCCATTTAAGGTAACTTTACGGAAGTCTAGCTCAGTTCTTTATTCTTTTACAATACTGACCTTTGTTACTAAATAGAAGTTGTTTAAAACACAATTAACATTTCAACTTCCTTTTAGGAGAACTAAGACCATTTTAGTTTTAACCAACAACAAATGTCGATGAAGCGATAAAAATTAAAAAGCATAAGAAAAACGTGTAAATAATAATTTATTATGGCAATGAAACTTTTCTTTGCCCTCTGTCCGTGGCATTTAAAAAACAAATCAAATAAATTGAACATTTATTGAAAACAAATGCAAATCGGAAATTGTAAATATTCAAACATATGCTACGTGTTTCAAATTATTTGTTCATTTACTTAACTTACAACAAACTTTCTTAACAACAGTAACTTAATTGAAATACAAAATGCTAATTGATTGATGATTTGTTGTTTGATTAATGCTGGCTAGTGTCAACAAAATCAAACATTTCACACTGTTATTTTGTCAAGTCAAGGGGGTAATAAAGAGAGTTTTCATTCAATTTATTTTCTATTAAAATTTACAGTTGTTTTGTTGTATAATTGATCTTTGGGTCACAAAATTTCATTTAATCTGTAAGGGGCCTTTAAAATTTTGAGAACTTAATTAGAATTATTTAAAATTTGTGGGGATTTCAACCTTGTAACACTTACATTTTGACTTACTTACCTGTTCTTTATAATATTTTCAATTAAAACCGGAAGTTTGTTTTGTTGTTTATTTTGGGTGTAGATTTATTTTTGAATTTATTTCATTTTAAAATGAGCTTAACAATTATTATTATTATTTTTTTAAATTTTTGTTGTATATAGTTTTATATATTTAATGAAACACACATATAGCGGATTGTTGCAAGTTTTTGTTCAAATTTGATTTGGTTTTTTGTTTAAAATATTTTTAATTATACTGCTGTTTTAATAGTTTATTAATTTTGTATACAAAAATAGTTTCCAAATTTAGTTTTTTTTGTTTTTATTTAAATTTTTTTTTATATTCTTAAAAATTATTAGCTTATATTGTAATTAAAACTTAATTTTAAATTAAATAAAAAAATTGAAACTGAAAAAAATTATATTTAAGAAAAAATGGCAGACTATTTGAACACAAATAGATGATCACTTTTTTTCGGTTTCTTATTTCTCTTAAGGTTGGGGTAAAGGGGCATTTTTATTATAAAATAAACAAGTGCAAATTATTTTTATTATATTTTTTAAGAAAAGGTTTCAATAAGCAACAAAATAATTTTTTTTTTTAGTTAAAAGTTTTTATAAAAATAAAATTTTTACAAAATTTATATGAAAATTGCTGCTGATTTGATACATTTTGGTAATATATCTCCCTGCTGACCTTTCCTATGATCTTCTCGTCTTCTATAGCAAATATCAACAGTTTCAAATTTTGAGAAAAGCTAAAAACCTTTTCTTATCCTTAAAAGTTTTTTCCTATAGGTTTTGTTCGATTTTAAAGTTATACTGATTAGATTTAATATTCCAATGATGAACTTGGGAAGAAGTGGCGCAGACATTTTTGTAAAACTTTGCCTTTAAAACTTAAGATTAAAAAGTTTCTTACAAAAATTTAAAGATTCTTAAGCTGAGAAATTTCTTAAACTTTTTCGTAGAATTGGAAATTGAAGTTTGTTCTTCAGAATTGTGATCTTAAGGTCTTCCTTGATCTTTACAGGCAAATGCTAAACTATGTTCAATTCCCATTTACATCATTTATTTCATTTATTCCATACATTTGGAGTCTGTACTATATAGCTTTTTTGATTCTAAATTAATTTAGAATTCCTTACTTGAAGATCACCTCTCGATCACTTCTAAAAGCTTTAATTTAGCTTACTTAAGATCACCTCTAAAAGCTTTTGCCAAAAACATTTGCTGCTGCTCGATGTACTTAAACAAATTTGTAACTATTTCGTTCCTCAACTTCGTTCTTAACTTAAGTTTTTCTATAAACTTTCATGAGTCATTAATTTAGAATTCCTTAATTGACGATCACCTCTTGATCACTTCTAAAAGCTTTAATTTACCTTACTTTAGATCACCTCTATAAGCTTTCGCCAAAACATTTGCTTCTACTCAACGTTCTTAAACAAATTTGTAACTATTTCGTTTCTCAATTTAACTTAAGTTTTTCTATAAACTTTCAAGGATTATTAGTTTAGAATTCCGTACTTGAAGATCACCTCTAGATCACTTCTAAAAGCTTTAATTTAGCTTACTTTAAGTCACCTCTACAAGCTTTCGCCGAAACACTTGCTTCTGCTTACTTGAAAATCACCTCTAGAACACTTCTAAAAGCTTTAATTTGAAACATTTGCTTTTGATCAACGTTCTTAAACAAATTTGTAACTATTTCGTTCCTCAACTTCGTACTTAACTTAAGTTTTTCTATAAACTTTCATGGACTCAATTTGAAGTGATTTTTCTGTCTAAAAAACTTTTGAGAATTTTATAAACTTTTGTGGTAATGGTATCGGAACTTAAAAGCTTTTAAAAACTTGTTATACCTACAGCTTTTAATGAACATTGTCTCCTCGATATATTGATGATCTTAAGGACCTGGTTGTAGTTGCTTGCGATTGATCTTTATAAACAAATTTTAAAGCATGATCGATTTTAAATTTTGTTTATAGCTTAGGTCTTCTTATAAGCTTTCATGAGAGAAGATTTAGCTTAACTTTTCTGTCTTCAAATTGCAGAACTCTTAAATAATATTAAAATTAAAGAAAAACTATTCAAATTTGGGAACTTTGATCATTTCCTAATTAAGTAGAAAGATCTTTAAGCTTGTCTTTAAGTAAAGTGGGAAATTTTCTTTAAATACTTGTGTTTTAAGGGAATTAAAATGGTTCCTTTGTCGAAGAACCATTTTAGAAGTCAGAACTTCTTAAGCTTAAATATTTCCTCATGATCTTAATCGGCGCTTTACATGAAACAAAACATTTATAAAAAAAAAACTTTCCCAAATTCATCACTTTCGATTTTTTCTCATTTTATAACAAATCATTAGTTCCTAATTAATATCAATCAATTTTAAGCTTTATATATCTTACATAAAGATTAAATTTGTTCACTTGTTTTAATTTATTTTTTTTATTTAATTTTTTGTCATTTTATTAAGCTTAATATAATCTTCTTAATTTCTTATTAAATTAAACAAAATAATAGTTAAAGAGTAATCATCAATCATCTTTTTAGTTAGAGTAGAAAAAAACTGTATAAGTAGAACTAAAAACAAAATTTGTTAAAAAAAATATTTAATACCTAAATTGACCCTTCTTTCCTCTTTCGTTGTGATACACTCTTAAGGGTGAATAACTGTTGCCATTGCCGGCACCAGTACCATTACCATTAAGGGCACCACCAGCACTGCCATTGCCACCAGTACCGCCAGCACCATTGGCAAAGGTTTGTGAAGCAGAGCCGGACATTAGATCATCCAAATGCACAGGTTTGGCAGCACAACGTGGAGCCAATATTAAATTATAGATAACAAAATAAATAAGGGCAATAATGCAGGCGGTAACAGATAACCATTCAAACTTAATCAAATCATCATCGGTATGAATGCCTTTCTTATCATCGTGCACTAAACCGATCAAAGCACCAAAACCTTTGCCCAAAGCAAAGAAGGCAATAACAGCCAAAGCCTGGCCTGTAGCGGTGAATTTACGTGGCATGGCATGACGCATATACAAAATAATGGTTATCCAAACAATGCCCAAAATTACGGGTTCTATTATTTCCATAAGATTGGTCAACCAATCGGTATCCTTGCTAGCCAAAGCAGTGAAACGTATAATAAACATGGCAAAGCCACCAATGAAAATATTGGAATGACCACAATATTCTATGAATTTGTCGACATTAAAGAATAAAACCAAAATCAACAGCAAGCCAGAGAAATAGGCAGCATATTCACCCAAATAGCTCCAATACAAATAGCTGTGTATACTACCCCAGAAGGTGCCAAACAAAATGGCCACTAAAGTTAAAACAAAAATCTCTGGACTGTATTTTCTTATAGCAGACATGGGATAAACCAACATGCCGGTCTTAGTATGCCACCACCATTCAGGAGGACTCAAAGGCATTTGGCTGGCGAATAGCAGAACTAAAGCACCCAATACAAAACAGACAATAACCAAAATTAAAGCCACAGTCATGCCCTCGGCTTCTTTGAAGAAAAACAAGTCTAAGGAACAGAATAAAATCACGTAACCCACAGCACCCCAGGCATATTGACGGCAAACTTCTCCTCTACCCTCGGAGGTCTCACGGACGGCTATAACAATGGCGGTATTCAATAAAGTCAAACAAGCCAAAGCGAAGATATCGCCCAATATGCGTATGGCAGTATAACCACCCAAAGTAGAGTCCAAATCACCCTCAATCTTAACACATTCACTATCGGCCAAAACACTGCCTTTACTGCCATAAGGATCAATAACTTGGCATTCAATCATGGGTTTGCAATCGCTGTTGTTCTTCAATTGGATCATATAGTTGGCCTGTTGCAGGGGTATTTGACATTGGAAACCGTCTAAAAACAAAAAGAAATAATTACATTTTGTCCTACAACTAACTGAAAAATAAAACTTACCCAAAGGATAATTACACCATTCAGCTGAGTGAGTATCATTCTCCACATTGGTGGCGGCCTTCATAACAGTGTGCACCAAGATACTGGTGGTATCATCGGTATAAACATGACAGTGTTTAACCACACTTTCTCCCTCTTCATTCTTTTCGGTCATACACAAGTGAGGAGGTTCAACATATACCTTATTGGGTGAAGATTTGTATTGTCTCTTTTGACGGGAGAGAACTTCAGAACTCATTACTTCTGCAGCACCCAATTCCGAGGACTGCTCAACTTGTTGTTGCGCATTTCTACGTTGTCTCAAACTCTCTGTTACCGCCGCTGTCGATTCATCTTCATAATCAAACTCCGAACTATGTTCGGTGGAGGGCGAGGGTGTTGGTATACTTTCCAACCAGGGTGTATACATATTCTCATATTGTGTGGGATCTTGACAGGTATAGGTGCATCTGGTTAAATTAACACTACCCACCTTCGATTTCCAATGATGACATTGATTGTCTTCCGAGCAACGTTGTTGGAATATGACAGCTCCATTGGCATCACATCCAAAACTAACTAGAGGTTGATGTGCCTCACCACGTTTCACTTCGGGCACCGCAAAGAGACAGGCATATATGATGGCGGTTATTAGTAGAAATATGGCGGTTAGTATTCTCAAAGTTTTGCCAAAATTATTAGGATTTTTGGCAGCAAAACGATCTGCCAAGGGTCCGGCGATTAGGGGACCCAATATCGATACGAATGAAGCAATTATGGTAATGTCACGATATTCATTGAAATTTAAACCCAAAACAGAGGGCATGCGATTGTTGAGTATATGGAGGGCGGAGATACCTGTAAGAAGAAAAATTAAGGATTAAACTAGATTGAAACTGTAAGTGGGAATGTTGAGCATATTATAGGGAAAACTACAAGAATGCTTTCGAAACTAGCAAAACTTTCTAAAAGTGATCCAGGGATCAATATATTTAGAATAACTAATGGGAAAACTATGAGAAGACCACCTACTAAGTCATCATTTAGTACAAAACGAAGATAAATAGGACAAACCTGATAATCAAAAAGTCAAAACGTGAATCTACTACTCTTCCCCGTCATGCCTAAAGAAATGATTTTGATTTACACTAAAGTAGGAGGCGAGCAATCTATTCGAAGTTAATAGATTTCCTCAACCTGTAGAAATCGGAAATCTAATGGCAATTCAAACATCAGATCATTAAATCGAAACTTGTATTTGATCAGAATAATGTCATCGGCCTAAGTATAATCAACAACCGAGACCGACAATGTTATCGGAATCTGGATTGCAGAGAAAGCATTGTTTCGCATTATCAAGGAATAAGATTCATGTATTCGCTAGTAATCGGATGTGATGTGACGACTTCATTCTTACATTGAATATCGCCTAACTTCCCGACCAAACAATTGGCTCTTAACTTAGCTGTGGGCCAAACTAAGGCACGGAAGTCTAATATAAAATAAACGAAATAATGTTATGATATCGAAATAACACTGATATATACGAATGGATTCTCGATCGTTTCGCAAAAATCTAACGACTCCTAAAGGAAGTACTTGCCATTTAAGCCTTGAACAGCTGAGAGCGTCGGTCAATAACATAACTCGCTTAAGCTGATTCTCATCTTCAGAAAGAGAACTGAACTACATTAATGCAGGGGTTTCTTTTCTCTTTTTCTTATACGAAAAGGTCAGCCTTAGCTTCATGTGATAGGGGATTGAATCTTCCTTTAAATGATTGGCACAAAGGGTTGATTCGAAGCTGTAACGGCCATGGGTTTATTAATGTCTTATCGAATGTATTAAGGTACCGTCATTGACTGAAATAGATAATGTCATCAAGTAATCTACTAATTGTTCTGTTGTTCCCTCATTCGCCAATATCATGAATTTAACCCATCACTTTATATCCCACTCGTATAGTCAAAGATAACTAATGTCCCAAATATTACAATCGGAAGCTTAAAATCGATTCATTTCTTTAAATACAAAAACTACTTACCACTCAATACAAAGAAGGCTACCACTTTCAGTGATATCAGAGTCTTATTGACTCTAGGCTTTCTGGAAAAGGCTCCCATTTTGGAGTAGCTGCTTCAGTTTATTTATGTAAAATGTTGGTATTTAGGATTCTCCTTAAACAACTAATTTAATTAATCTACTTAAAATAGGTGGAGTTTCTGTACAACAACAATTCGTAAAAGAGCTTTGAAAAGCTCTAAGGGTGGGTGGTGATGATTCAATCGTAAGGATTAGAAATCTGATTAGTTTTCGTTCTCAAAAAATGGTGTTGTCGAAATCTGTAATAAAAATTAAGAAAACAAGAAATAAATATTTAAAATATATATAAAGAAATTTAGGTTCGAAATTTAGAAGAATTTTTATTTGTTAAAATTCTAATTTTTGTGTAAAACTTTGTTCATTTACAAAGTAACTTTTATATTTTTTCTATTTTCTATTATGATGTCATTTTAAAGTTTTTATTTAAATTAACTTTAAACATATTAAATTATTCAAGTTATTTTTGTTTATACTCAAAGTTCATTAAAACATTTTTCTATTTTTAATAATTTCAAGGTTAAATTGTAATAAATTGTAATTATTTGTTGTTCAGTTGTTCTACACACATTTTTTTTAATATTATACAAAATTTTTCTTGACCTTTTATTGTTTAAATAAATTTCAATTGGTATAAAAGCCAAAAACAATTAATAAATTATTGTTTAGTTTATTGTTTATAAATTATTTTCGTTTATTTTTTCTTCACTAAATGGTGATATAAATCAAAATTTTTAAGAATTTATGTGCTAATAATAATAACACAGGCCGACAAAGTTTTTAGACAGATAGCCAGGGTTATGTTATGTCATCGGGAAGTTTATTTTGGCAACTTTAAAATAAAGCTGGAAGTTATTATATATCTGCTTTCTTCTTATAGATATGTTAACTTTAAGCTTGAGACCACCATGAAAATCTGAAGCTTTCACTATACATTTTGACTTTATTTTACTATAAACTTCCCAGCAGTTCGACAAAAGGTCAATGTATTCGAAAAAACAATCTCTAACCAATTGTTTGGCTCAAATTAGTCTTTTGAATGTACTTTTTCCGAATAAATGTTCTCTTTTAATCAAGAGTGGAGACAGTCGTAACTTTACAGTCCCCAAGTAATCTAGGGAGTAGACACTTAAGAACAAACTGAGACAACCTCTAACCAACTGTTTAGCTCAAATTCGTCTTTCGAATGAACTCTTTACGAATGTACGTACTCTTTCCGACTGAATGTTCTCTTTTAATCAAGAGTGGAGACAGTCGTAACTTTACAATCTCCAAGTAATCTAGAGAGTAGACACTTAAGATCAAACTGAGACAACCTCTAACCACCTACAGTAGACACTTAAGAAACTGAGACAACCTCTAATCACCTGGTTGGCTCAAATTCGTCTTTCGATTGTACTCTTTACGAATATACTCTTTACGAATGTACTATTTCCGAATGAATGTTCTCTTTTAATCAAGAGTGGAAACAGTCGTAAGTTTACAGTCCCCAAGTAATCTAGTGAGTAGACACTTAAGAACAAACTGAAGCGAATATATTCATTACTGTGTCTTTACTCCTTGGACTAGCTTTTTGACTGTCTCTTCGAAATCCATGGAGTGATGATTGACTTTCTCGTACAACAAGTCGGTGAATTGAGGTAGTAACCCTTAGTCGTAGGTTACGTACAGGACTGTCCGTCCGTACTACTGGATTAAAGGTCTCAATTTGTCATAATTTTTTCTATAAAATACTTTTTAAATTGTTTAAAAATCTCTTATAGTTTAGATGTTTTTAATAAATAGTTGTTTCAAGTTTTAGGTTAAGATATCGCGAAAAATTCAGAAGTTATAACAGAAGTTATGTCTTTATTTTAAAGACTTTCAGATGACATAACAAGAAAGCGGTCTCCACACTGTTATAAGGCCTCAAATATGATCAAAAACGGGGTTTTATTCAAGTTTTAGGATGTGATATCTCGAAAACCTAATGTCATTATTTAAAAGACGACAAATTGGACTTTCAGATGACTTAACAACAAAGCTGTTTCCACGCTGTCATAAGGCCTCAAATATGAGCCAAAAACGGGGTTTTATTCAAGTTTTAGAACATGATATCTCGAAAACCTGATGTAATGGAGAAGTTCTGAGGCCAGATTTATAGGTTTTTGAGGTTGGCGTGTTAAATTAGAATCTTTTTTACAGTTTTTCTGAAAATAGCAAATTTTTTAACAACTTTATATCACCTCTAAATTTGTTCATGTTTTTAAACAATTAATAGAATTTCCTTTAAAATGTTCCACTAGATGAGTTTTAATAATAAAAAGACAATTCAAAGAAATGTAATGTTTAATAAACACTAAAACCAACAAACACATGCAAAAATAATTAATTATTTTCTGTTTAATCATTAATGCCACAACAACCAACAATCGCAGACACAATGACTGTCAGGTTAGAGTATTTCAAATGATAATTAAAAAAACCTAAAGGTATTGAAATACGTTACGCATGCTTAATAAATTAAAAAAAAAATACAAAAAAAATATATGGTAAACACATTTAATAAACAAAGCTTGGCAAACAAATTTCATTCATGCAATTTGTTTTAAAATCTAATATAAAACAAACAAAAAAAAAAACTTTTTCCAAATGCAAAATTTACCTGAATAAAATTTATACAGAAAAACCAAACAACAGCAAAATGTTAATACAACATTAGAAACGTTACACCAACGTGTTCAATATTTGTTTTTTTTTTCAGTATGGGAAGCCTGCCTCTGTTTGAATTTGAGGCTTTTTTTTTATATTTTGTTTATAAATTAAACAAAACTTGCACACCTTGAATACAAATGTTAAACGTATTTAAATTAAGTTTTTTTTCAACTTTTTTCTATAACAAATTTCAAAATTTAATATTGTCGCTGTTATAGACATACATACGTATAAAATAGATACAACTTCAATATGCTAAATACGCATTTTCTAATGTTATGAATAAGGCAAATTTAGCGGTTTGAGCTTGAGTGTTATATAAAGGGTATTCACTGAAAGTTTGATGAAAAAATAACAGCTGTTAAGGAAACTACAGCTGTTTTCTTAGGTCTTAAAACCAGATTGTTTACATTAGCAGCTTTTCAGATGAGATTTCTTAAAACCGCGCTAAACGTACAAAACTTCTTATTGAGAAATCATATTTGTACATCAGCTGTTTTGAAAAATATGTTTTGGATACTTCATCAGTTTAATATGTAAATAATTTAATATTTAAAAAACAACTCATCAAATTATTACTTATTTAATTTTTCTCATTTTAATTCAATTTATCATTTTCTTTTCAAAACACTCTGATTTTCTAATAAACAAATCTATGAGACAATCATTATATCCAACTGATAGTTGACAGTTTAATCATCATTTAAAAAACCAGACAACTAAATTGACACCTACTCACTCTTACTCTTTCTCTTACGCTGTCATCTCCCCTCAACAATTGCCAAAGAAAAATGCTTAATGTACTTTTTTTATACAATTATTGTGATTGCAATAAATTGCAACCCACACTTCAGCAACAAATGTTAAATGCAATTGTAAATGGAGCCCTTAATAAAATCAGACATAAGTGTATTAAAGGATAAGGCAGAATGATAACTAGATGAACCCTACTTAAGCAGGGAATAAGAATGATCATAAGAGATCATACTCTTTAGCCAAAACAAAGACCAATTGAAAGGGTTTCTATAAAATCGATTTTGAACTGAATAAATATTTAAATCTCATTCTTTCCTCATAAAGTATTCAAATTATATTCTCTTTACAGAAAATGTTCAATCAAAAGAAAATATAGAAAATTTAAGATAAAATCGGTTTATCGGTTTAGGTGTAACTGACTGAAAATTAAAACTTCTCATGATCGCTGATCTCATATATCTGAAATTTTGTCGTATCAGGTGTACTCTTTTATTAATATAGATAGATAGATACACAGAAAAAACTGAAAATGTGTTTTAATTATCAAATTGATTGTATCAAGCAAGTTTTGCACCTATCAACAAAATGATGATAACAATTATGAAATTTGTGACAAAACATTTTTTTCCAATTAAAGAAATAATCAAAACAATTAACATCAGTAATTAAATTCAAAATTTAAAATTAGTTAATTCATTAATTGGATAAATTAAATATTTAATAAAATTAAACTTACATTTTAATTAGTTTATTAATCAAATAAATTGAACAGTGTGGTTAAAAATGTATTAAAAATCAATAAAGTCGATGATTGAAACAATCAAAGCATTAATTGAATGCTTACAACATTAAAGGATTCCTTTACCTTTAACAATGCGTTAAGCACTCTCAAAAATATCTCTTTATTGTCACGTTTGAACAAATAAAGTGATTTATAAATATTAAAATATTTATGAAATTTCAACTTCTTATGCCTAAAATATTATTGACTATTTGAGAATTATTTTTCGTTATAAATAATGAAATTATTTAAATAAAATATCAAAACAAAAAACCAAAATAAAAAAGTAGGCTGAAAAAACTTTTTCAGCCAATTAAAAAATTAATCAAATTTGTATACTTAGGATCAAAACAATGAGATAATTAAAAAATTGTTTAAATAAAAGTTAAAGAAAGAGGAAAACATGTTAATTGAAAATAAACTACCGATAATTTTTGCTGTGTAGATAGATAGATAGATAGATAGATAGATTGATAGATAGATAGATAGATAGATAGATAGATAGATAGATAGATAGATAGATAGATAGATAGAATAGATAGAGATCGATAGATAGATAGATACTAGATGAGATAGATAGATAGATAGATAGATAGATAGATAGATAGATAGATAGATAGATAGATAGATCGCTCGCTCGCTCGCTCTCTCGCTCGCTCGATCGATCGCTCGATCGATGCTAGCTTGCTCGCTCGCTACTCGCTCGCTCGCTCGCTCGCTGCTAGCTCGCTTGCTCGCTCGCTCGCTCGTCGCTCGCTCGCTCGCTCGCTCCTCGCTCGCTCGCTCGCTCGCTCGCTCGCTCGCTCGCTCGCTCGCTGGCTCGCTCGCTCGCTCGCTCGCTCGCTCGCTCGCTCGCTCGCTCGCCCGCTCGCTCGCTCGCCTCGCTCGCTCGCTCGATCGCTCCCGCTCGCTCGCTCGCTCGCTCGCTCGCTCGCTCGCTCGCTCGCTCGCTCGCTCGCTCGCTGCTCGCTCCTGCTCGCTCGCTCGCTCGCTCTCTCGCTCGCTCGCTCGCTCGCTCGCTCGCTCGCTCGCTCGCTCGCTCTCTCGCTCGCTCGCTCGCTCGCTCGCTCGCTCGCTCGCTCGCTCGCTGCTCGCTCGCTCGCTCGCTCGCGCCTCGCTCGCTCGCTCGCTCTCTCGCTCGCTCGCCGCTCGCTGCTCCCTCTTCTCTTTCTCCCCCTTCTCTCTTTCTTGCCCCTTCCCCTTCTTGCCGCTTGTCGCGCCCCTGTTTTCTTTCTCTCCGGTTTTTCCTCCCCCCTTGTCTTTCTGGTTCCTCCCCTGCTCCCTGTTCTCTTTCTGCCCCTTTTCGGTCCCCTTTTCTCTTTCCCTGTTCGCTCCGTTTTCTCTTTTCAGCCCTGTTCGCTCCCCTTTTTCCTCCTTGTTCGCTCCCTGTTTCCTTTTCTCTCCCCTTTTCGCTCCCCGTTTCTCTTTCTCCTTTTGCTCCCTTTTTCTCTTTCTTCCAGTTGTTCGCTCCAAATTTTCTCTTTATAAAAAATTTTCTATTGAAATTTTCTCTTTATAGAAAATTTTCGATCAAATGTTCTTTTTATATAAGATTGTCGATCAAATATTCAGTTTAAAGAAAATATTCAATCAAACTTCAAGAATTTTTTTACTAAAAATTCTCTTTATGGATCTCTTTATTGATCAAATGTTCTTTTTTTTATAAAATTTTCAAACTAAATTTTTCTTTATAGAAGATTGTCGATCAAATTTTCTCTTCAATTTCAATCAAATGTTCTCTTTACAGAAAATTTTCAATAAAAAATTCTTTTTATGGAAAAGTATTGATCAAATATTCTCCTTGTAGAAAATTTTCAATCAAAATTTATCTTTATGGAAAACTATTAATCAAATGTTCTTTTTATATCAAATCAAATTTCTTTTTATAAAATATTTTCAATCAAATTTTCTGCTTATAGAAATTTTTGAACAAATTTTCTTTTTATAGAAAATTTTCAATCAAATTTTCTCTTTATAGAAGATAGTCGATCAAATTTTCTCTTCAATTTCAATAAAATATTCACCTTATAGACAATATTCAATCAAAATTTCTCTCTATGTAAAACTATTAAACTATTACATAAATTTTTTTTTTATAGAATATTTTCCATCAGATTTTCTCCTTATAGAAATTTTTGAACAAATTTTCATTTTATAGAAAATTTTCAATAACATTTTCTCTATAGAAAATTGTCTATCAAATTTTTTTTTTTTTTTTTTTGTAATTTTCGATAAATAATATTTATCTCCTTGTAAATCATGTACCATCACCAACTTAAATTACCCTCCAACTGAAGGTAGTTTAGACATTTACAATAACACTTCTTAAGCCACTGACATTGTACGACTTGATCAAATTTATTATTAAAAAAAAAAAAAAATCAACTACTTCATACAATTTAAATTGTAAAGATATTAATTTTCCTTTATTTCTAACTAAATAAAACTGAGTATTGAGTTTAATATTGAACATAAGTATCACTTTCAATTTTAAACAGAAAAAAATGCTTTTCTAGTTTTATAAAGCTTTAAAAAGCCAGCTATTCTTTAGCCATTAAACAAACAACTAAGCAGATCATTGAAATTTAAATAGAACTATTTGATGTTCCTCTTTTTTTGTAGCTCCACAATCATCTTCATATCTACATTTATCTTTCTATCTTAAGAATATTCTTACTGTTTCCCTAGTTGTGGTAAATGGGCGTTTTTTGCGCTATTTAAAAAGTCTGTTTCTTTTTTTCGATTCTTTTTTTTTAAATATAAAACGCGTTTTTTTATGCGTAATTGCTTTTTTATTTGTTTGTTCTCTTTCTGATGAGATGATCTGCTCTGTTTAATTTCAACTTTAGCAATAACAACAACAACACCGTTTATTATTTCAACTCTTAATGGTTGTTGTAATGTCATGTCTTTTATTGTTGTTGTTATTGTTGTATTTATGAATACATTATAATTGTTGTTTGATAGTAAATGACATCATTAGTGATGTCATTTATTTCTTCTCATTGATTTGTTTACGATTATTAAAACCGGTTAATTTGTTAATGTTTCCCTCTAATGGTGGAAGTTCTCAGTTTTTGTCTACTCTTTTTAATATATTTTTAACAAGTTCGCTTGACAATATCTGCTGGATTTTTTGAGAGTAAGGGAATAATATTTATTGAGTTAATTTAGCCATCAAAGTTCATCATAGTTTAATTAACTAGAGCTTAACAAATATTTGTTTAAGTATTTTTCTTAAATTTTAGAAATATTTATTTATTTAGTTTATTATCAATTTTTTTTAGTTTTTTCTCTAAGTTTGCAGAATGTATGAAATTGAATGAGATCTTTTTCCAGTTGCCAGAAGAAATTTAGATATTGTGTAAATTTTTTATTAATTTTTTTTAAACAAAAATTTAATTTTTTTCTTAATAGAAAATTTTGGATCAAATTTGATCTTTAAAGGAAATTTTCTCTTTAATTTTGGCTTAATAGAATAAATTCCATTTTCCATGTCTTTATAGAACATTTTCAATCAAATTTTCTCTCTATAGAAAATTGACAATCAAAATTTCTATTTAATGAAAAATTTTTGATAAAATTTTCTCTTTATAGAAAATTGTCGATAAAATTTTCTGTTTACAGTTAATTTTCGAATAATTTCTCTAGAAAGAAAGTTTTTTAAATCAAATTTATGATCAAATCTTGTTTTTAAAAAAAGTTTTCGATCAAATGATCACTTTGAAGTAAATTTTCTCTTTATAGGAACATTTTGATCGAACTTTCTTTTTATAGAAAATTTTTGATCAAATGTTCTTATTAAAGAAAATTTTGAACAAATTTTGTTTTTAAAGAAAGTTTTTGATCAAATGATCACTTTATAGAAAACTTTGAATAAAATTTTGAAGAAAATTTTCTTTAAAATTTTCTCTTCATTAAAAAATTTCGATCTAATTTTATTTTTAAAGAATTTGTTCGATCAAATTTTGTTTTTAAAGAAAGTTTTTGATCAAATGATCACTTTGTAGATCATTTTAAAGAAAATTTTTGATAAAATTTTCTATTTAAATAAAGTTTTCGATGAAATATTATTTTTAAAGAAAAGTTTCGATCAAATGATCACTTTGTAGAAAATTTTTTTCTATAAAATTTTCTTTTTAAAAAATGTTTTCGATCAAAAGATTACTTTGTTGAAAATTGTCTATCAAATTTTCTTTTTTAAGAATGTTAAATAATAATTTTGTAGAAAATTTTTGATCAAATTTTGTTCTTAAAGAAAGTTTTCGATTAAATGATCACTTTATAGACAATTTTAAAGAAAATTTTCGAACCAAATTCCATTTTATAGAAAGTTTTCGATTATCACTTTGAAGAAAATTTTCTCTTCATAAAAAATGTTTTCGATTTTTCTTTAAATTTTCTAACAAAGTGATCAATTACTTTGTTAGAAAATTTAAAGAAAAATTTCTTTCAAAATTTCGTTTTAAAGAAAGTTTTCGATTAAATGATCACTTTGAAGAAAATTTTCTTTAAAATTTTCTCTTCATAAAAAATATTCGATAAAATTTTTTTTTTAAAGAAAATTTTCGATCGAATGATCACTTTGTTAGAAAATTTAAAGAAAATTTTCTTTCAAAGTTTCGTTTTAAAGAAAGTTTTCGATTAAATGGTCACTTCAAGGTATATTTTCTTTAAAATTTTCTATTCATAAAAAATGTTCTCTCATATTTTGTTTTTAAAGAAAATTTTCGATGAAATCATCACTTTGATAAAAAATTTTACAGAAAATTTTTGATTAAATCTTTTTAAAGAATGTTTTCGACCAAAAGATCACTTTGTTAAAAATTGTCCATCAAATTTTCTATTTAAAGAATGTTAAATGATCATATTGTAGAAAATTAAAAAAAATTTCTGATAAAATTTTTTTAAAGAAAATTGTCGATCAATTTTCCTATTGACATAAAGTTTTCAATAAAATTTTCTTTTTATAGAAAGTTTTCGATCAAATCTTCTTTTTAAAGAAAATTTTCCATCAAATAATCACTTTATAGAATATTTTAAAGAAAATGTTCGATAAATAATCTGTTTATGGGAAATTTTAAAAACTTTCTTTTTAAAGAAAATTTTCGTTAAAAATTTCATTTTAAAGAATATTAAATGATCATTTTGTAGATCATTTTAAAGCAAATTTTTAATTATTTTTTTTTTTTGAAAAGAAAGTTTTCTATTAAGTTTTTTTAATAAAGTTTTCAATAAAATTTTCTTTTTAAATGAAATTTTCGATCAAATTTTATTTTTCAAAGAAAATTTTCGATCAAATTTTCTTTTTAAAGAAAATTTTCTTTTTAAATAAAAATTTCGATCAAAATTTCTATTTAAATAAAGTTTTTGATAAAATTTCCTTTTTTTTAAAAAATTTTCGATCAAATGATAACTTTATAGAAAAATTTCTATCAAATTTCCTTTCCACAGAAAATATTCCATTAAAAGTCTCTCTCTGATAGAAATTTTTCGATAAAATTTTCTTTTTTTTAGATAATTTTTATAAAAAATTTTCAATCAAAATTTTCTTTTATAGAAAATTTCTTTCTGTAAACAAAATTTCCTATAGAAATTATAAATCATGTGTAAAATCTAAACACCTAACAAGTAATTAATTCCCTTGCCAAAAGCCGCATCTTTAAATTCAGCTCAATTTCAAAGCCTTTGATTTATTTTAAGAAATTGAAACTTTATTTATTACAATGACGTTGATTACATTACATTAACTTGTATTCAAAATCGTATAGAATGAATGAATAATTTTTATATGAATGAATATTGAATAACAGCAATAAACAACAACATTGACCCGATTTCTTTGCACCGATTAATTAATAAAAGTTCATTAGATCCTCTATTGCAAAATGTTGAGTATTTATTTTTATATTGCAAGTTTCAGTTGTCTTTTGAAGTCCCCCTCCCTTGCTAACTTACAATTAATTTATGTATGACCACGCTGGCATAAAATGTATTCTATTGTTTTATTTATTTAGTAACGCTTTAGATCAAACGAAATTAAGGGGAGTCAAGTTGTCTCTCTTTTAGGCCTCCCACTTCCAAGGGAACAGATAATTTATGTTGTAGACAAGTGCGTGCATGTTATTTAATTAACGCATGAAACAGTGAACTAAAGTAGTTTGTAACATGTAATTTAAACATAAATATTAATATAGTGTTAAGAGAAAAACTATGCAGGGAGTCCCAAACTTTAGAAAAATTATTTTCAAACAACAAAAACAAAATAACATACATTTTTCAATTATTTTCTTTGATAAAATGTTAATTTAAAAAAAAGTTTTTAAGTTTTTGCTTTGCTTTAATAATAAAGTTTGGGAACCTCTTTTGCTTGAAAATCCCCACTAATTACAAACGTTTTAACTTACAATATATGGTGTGAGTTCTAATGTATGTCAAATGCTTGCAACAATACAAAGTGTTGAAAAACATTTAACACTTTGTAGTATTTAACTTTAAAGAAGAAAACTAAAACCAGCAAATTAAGAAGCTTGACTCAAAGAAAAAAACTCAATTGCTTTCCTAGCTAATTTCCATTTTGTCTACAAGGTGTTGGAAATCTTTTAAAACTATTACAATAGTATTATTGATGTAAATTACTTATCAACTCACAGCTGATTCATATTTACACACATTTCTCTAATAAATGTCTTATTTATGTGACAAATAAGTAAAATAGAAATATTTATTATCATCACTATAATTAAATCAGATTCATTTTAAAACAATAACAATAAAAAAGACATATGTAGACATAGAACCCAGACTGGGGTAGAGTAAATAAATTTGAAGTTAATTACTGTAAAAAAACTCAAAACTAGAATTGCCAGATTATTATTAATAAGGGGGGAAATATTCCCAGAAGGGAGGGCAAATGAGACATTAAAGTCTGGCCTGAAGAATGTTTTCACTTCCATGAAAATTTTCTATAATATTTTCCTTTTATACAACGCTTTCGTTAATATTTTCTTTTAATTTTTGATCAAATTTTATAAAAAAAAGGACATTTTCAATCAAAATTTCTGTAAAAAGAAATTTTTTTTATCAAAATATAAAATTTTCTTTAATAAAAAATAAACTTTTTGGTGAAATTTTGTTTTATAGAAACTTTTCGGTTAAATTTTTATTTATGGAAACTTTTCGGTCAAATTTTGTTTTAAAGAAACTTTTCGATCAAATTTTCTTTTATAGAAAATTTTCGATCAAATTTTCTTTTATAGAAAATTTTCGGTCAAATTTTCTTTTGTAGAAAATTTTTGATGAAATTTTGTTTTATAGAAACTTTTCGGTCAAATTTTGTTTTAAAGAAACTTTTCGGTCAAATTTTGTTTTATAGAAACTTTTCGGTCAAATATTGTTTTATAGAAAATTTTCGGTCAAAGTTTGTTTTATAGAAACTTTTCAGTCAAAGTTTGCTTTATAGAAACTTTCGGTAAAATTTTGTTTTAATGAAACTTTTCGGTCAAATTTTCTTTTATAGAAACTTTTCAGTAAAATTTTCTTTTGTATAAACTTTTCGGGCAAATTTTTTTTTTATAAAAACTTTTCGATCAAATCTTCTTTTTAGAAACTTTTCGGTCATAATTTGTTTTATAGAAACTTTTCGATAAAATTTTGTTTTAAAAAAACTTTTCGGTCAAATTTTCTTTTATAGAAACT